CAAGAAAATGCGCTGCCTGCGTTGCCTCTCCCAAACTCCAAAAACCACCTCCGAAGGTGAGACAACCAACTCCACCTGAAGAGAACCCGTTGACGCCGGGTGAACAGGTGAGAGCATGAGGTCGTGCCGCACTAACGGCCTTCGACCCAGAAACTGAGCCGCGTGGCAGGGTTACGAGAGGTGTGGCGGCCCCCCCGGAAGCGAGGAGAGAAGGACCTGGTCATCCCCCAGCTGCTAGGAAAAGCCCGAGAAGATTTCTTTACCCTAAAGGAGCCGAGGACACGTTTGGGGAGGCCCTCCCAGGATCTCGGAACCTTCATCTAGCTCAGTCCAACAAGCTGTAGCTCAAGGCGAGCGCAATCGGAATACCGATAGAATGCTTGCAACCATGCCAGCAGGTACTCGCGTACCACCTGGAAACCTCCAGGTTAACCCTGACTACAAGGGTGCCTTTACGGCAGTCTTCGAGTTACCTGATCGACACGGAGTTGGCATTTCAACGGTGCAGGCCATTTCGCAAGGCCTGATAGTGAGCTACGAAGCGGTGAGATTCTACGAGCAAGCCCCACTAAGGTTTGAGCAACAGCTCTATGAAAGAATAGAGATTAGAGATTGATGCCAGGCTCGCAGAAGAAATGTACAGAAATGACGAATTATCGTCTATTGTACAAGCTCAAGACGATAAACTCTGTTTGGAGGAAGCGCGTATTAACGCCGAAAATGTTCATCACGCAGTTACCGAAGAGCTGGAACACGCTCGTTTTCGAGCTGAAGCAGCTCACCACGAAGTTTCCAGACAACTGGAACAAGAGCGACAGGCCAAGGCGTCTATTTCACGGATTTTGGAAAGCCGTGATAATCAGCTAAGTACCGAAATATCGGAGCTGACCATAGACCGCCAAGAAGCTGTGCTCAGGTATGAATTTGCCTGTACTCAGCACAATGATGACCTAATGGCCATCAGGCAAGACAATAACCGTCTACGCCAGCAGCTCTACGCGGCGTATACGATGAGAGACAACTATCGCCAGCTTGTTGACGAACTATCGTCCCGACAGCCTGTGGAACGTGAAGTTCCAATTAGTGAATTTGTCTCCATGCAAAATCGCCTCTGGAGCATGGAACAGGAGCACGCGCTGAATGTTCAGAAGCTCGACGAGGTTGAGAACTCTCGTGGAGAGTATGAGGAAAAACTTGCCCAGCTGAGAGAAAGGCATGTCGCTCTCGAAAAAGAAAAGAATGAGCTCACCATGCGGCTGGCCTACATTCAGGGAGCCACTCAAGCAGCCAGAGAACTTCTTGAAAAAGAAAGACTCGAGCAAGAAGAAGCTCAGAGAACGGCTGCAGCGAGTAGTGCTCCAAGTGACCGACTACGGTCCCAAGAAACTCAGACCGTTGATGATCCTCAGGACTCACGGTCTTCAGCCCAGAATAGCTTTCTGCTCATTGGCACTAGCCAAGCCGCGCCGGCTACGTCGTCAACAATCCGTAATGAGTTGGACGGACCGGACGAGGAGGCGACAGAAGAAGTGTAAGCCGTAGTAACGGCCAAGGCACTTCAGGAGTTGAAGCCGAAATATCGGTATCCTCCATTGCTGTTGAAAACCGAAATATCGGTTGAGTCCAGCGTCTCACCACTGAGTGCAGTAGCTAGTAGTAACTAGTGAAGCCGCCAGTGGGAAACTTTTCATTTTGCTGGAACCAGGATGTATTCACACAACCTAATTAAGCACCACGTGTATAGACCAAGGTATAATAATACAACATATCCTGGAGTTCCACAGAATGGAATGACACGCAACCTGTGTCCTCTGTACAGAACCGACCAGGACTGCGCACGCTCCGCGAACGCTAAAGGGAGTATAGAT